TTTCTATCTAAGCACCTTGCCTACAGCACCCTCTCTGGCTGCCATGTTGGTAGCAAGCAGACATAAATCTGGGTTAGTCAGCCCCTAGATCAAAGCCCTTCTCTAAAGTCCATCAGTCACTCATGCAGCAAATACATGCTAATTACTTATTATACGCCAGGCAGTCTGAAAGGCATCTGGTAGGATGCAAACAAATCAAATAAATGAAATAGACATGGTCCTTTCCCTCTATCATTAAAAGAGAGAATAATGCTACTAACAGGTGAAAGGTACCTGTGACACATATTGCTAAGGAGAAGGGCACAGGATGGTACAAGAGTAAGGAATATGACTCAACCCAGGGTATGAGGAAAAGTTTCCCTGGGAGCAAAGGGTGACCTAGGATCTGAAGGGTGGCCAGGAATGAACCAGCTTTAATAGAACTAAGGAGGATGGCAGTGTTCTGAGCACAAGGAACAGCAAGAATGGAGCCTGGTAGTGAGAAGAGAGGGCTATTCGTGTGAGGAGAGGAAGAAAGCCTAAGGGGTTTGGCATAGAAGGTGACCTGAGAGTGCAAGGTAAGGCTGGATACCTGAGGCCACGAGCATGTTTGTAACCCATGTTTAAGACATTGTTTTGTATCTTGTGATCAACGGGCAGCCATTGAAATGACCATATTTGGGTTTTATAATCATTACTTTGGCTAAAAAGTGGAGAATCTATTGATTAGGGGAAAGAGAATGCAGACACACATAAATATATAACCAGAAACCCAGACGAAAGCTGAAATAGCTTTAAAAAATATGGTAGTATAAAGAAATGGATGAAGTGGGAAATATCTCACAGGCAGTGTCATTTTATTTCTTAGTGGGTTGGTGATAAACTATGAGAGGAAGGAATAAAGAATGAGCTACTGAGAGACAGAAAGAAATTGGAGGAGGATACAGATTTTGGTGAATTCTCAGGAAAGATCCACGATTTTGACTGTGTTTATTTTGGGGAGCCAAGTGGACATATGGAGAAATCAGTTGGGTTTACAAGTCAATTGTTCAGAAGAGAACTGAGTTAGGGGTGGAAACTTGTAAAGCCTGTGTATACAGATCGTAATTGATACTACCGATATGAAGAATATGAAGAGAAGAGGTCCTAGGGCCAGAAAAAGGAGCACATGGAAAAAGAACTGAGGAGCTACAAGATGGGAAGAGTCAAAGCTATGATGTTTCAGAGACCAAGGGTACTGATAGTTTCGGAATCAAGTAATTGAGAAATATGAAGACTAAGAAATTCATGTCCAATTTAGTAATGGCGACCTTGGTAAAAATAAGAAAGAAATAGGGGTGTTAGCCAGAAGGAAGCAGATTAATGAGGAAATTGATGATAAGAAGCTAGAGGTATGGCCTATAACTACTAGTAGAAGTCTGTCTATGAAATAAGAGAGAAAATATTATAGTCAAAAAGGAATACACAAGGGCTGGGGATTTAGCTCAGCAGTTCGGTGGCCTGCCTCACAAGTGCAAGGACCTCAGTTCAATCCCCGGTACCAAAAAAAAAAAAAAAAGGAATACACAATTTACAGGGGTTTCTACATTGCTTGGTTTTAGAAAAGAAATCTTCTATGTTTACAAAGTAATGGATGATTTAACTCAATTTTCAATTAAAACTGAAGTAAACTATAATCTATGGCCTACAATCTTTTCTCAAATACAATTCAATCAACTTTCATTTTAAGCAGCCAGTAGTTCATTCAGTAGAACAGTGTTATTGTTAGGGAAGAATTAATCTGCAAATGAATATTATTGTCAATTTCTTGCTAGATTTGTCTTACAATAGTTACTTTTAAAGGTACCATGGTGGGTTATTTTTTTCTAATGCTGCTCAAATTCACTCAGCTACGTCAAGGTGAAGTTGGGTATTTCTTCACAGCCACCGATTACCACTGACATGGCCAATGAATGCAAACTTCACACTTTATAAGAGAAATATAGAGCCACAGAAGTTGCTGCTAATGCTCTGGGTGAAGAATGAAAGGGTTATGTGCCCCCAATCAGGAGTGGGATGACAAACAAGGGTTCCCCATGAAGCAAGGTATCTTGACCCATTGTTGTACCTGCCTGCTACTGGGTAAGGGGTTGTTGTTGTACACCAAAGAGAAGTGAAGAAAGAAAGTGCAGACCTCCTTGGGGTTGTACTGTGGGTGCTAATTTAAGCCATCTCAACTTGGTTACTGTAAAAAAAAAAAAAGACATTTCTGAATCAATGGATACTACTGTATCTTATTGCCTGGGGCCCAACTCTAAAGATGATACTCACCAATATGTTGTCAGAAAGGCTTTAGGCAAAAAAGGTAAGAAACCAGGACCAAAGCACTCAAGATTCAGTGTTGAGGACCAACAATGTTATGTGTATATTGGTGAGGGCCAGACTATAGGCCCCTCAGTCCCAAGGCTGGTGTGACTTGCTTTACGAATAGGGAAATATGTGGAAGCTGTATGTTTCCTGGCTGTGTGGGGAAAGCTCACAATCACAGTGCTCCTAAGGCAAGATAACATCTGCCAAGGACAATGCAAAAGGTGGGGGGGTCCAGGTATGGGGAAGAACTTAATTCCCATTAATTTGTTCCCTTTGTGAGTATTAACTTATTCCTTATTTTGTGTTGTCCTGTTCTTACTGCAGTTGCTGTTTAGGAAAAAGTATATACCCCTCCCCTGTGCTTCTTGCTGGCTTATAAAAGCATGTCAACCATGGAGATTATTGAGTCTGTCCACTAGAGGCAGGCCACTCTTGGTCCCTTTGAACCTTGAGTGTTGTCTCTGTTTCTTTTTATTCCCCATCATCTCCCTTACAGGTATCCAAGGGTCTGATCAGGCCCCAGCAATTAAGCATCTTGTCACTTCACACATCCTGCAAAAGAAACACAAGCAGTACATGGCTCTGAAAAAACAGTATACTAAGCAGTATAAGGAAGGGGCTGCAAAATACACCAAACTTTTGGCCAAAAGAATGAAGGAAGTCAAAGAGAGACATCGGGAACAGATTGCCAAGAGATACAGACTGTCCGAGACTCCACTGTGCAAGATTCTACCTCTGAATCCTGTCAAAACTAAAAATTGTTAAGAGTAACAAATAAAAAAGATCATACTTTATATTTCAAAAAGTTAATTGAAAATTAAAATGGACCACAGTAATGATTTCTTCCACTAAAAAATTATATGGTGTGTGTGTGTGCATGTGTGTGTGTGTGTTGGCACCACAAAATAACAAAATCAGAATCCTGGTCTCTTCCTCAGACCTCACCAATCAGATCATGGTGGTATAAAGCAAAATTTGAGACTGATAGCCTTTGGCCAAATCTGGATCACCATTTGTTTTTGTAAACACAGTTCACCCTTGACTTACAAAGTGAATTCATTCTCAAGGGCTAGTTGTAACTCAACTTGGTCAATTGCCTTCAAAGTCTCTCTCCTGTATAATTTTAGGTGACACTTTCTTCCAGGCAGATCTCAGTGTCCTTAGAGAGACACTGGCCCCAGATTTCTTAATTAACTTCACACAGGAAAGGATGTTGTAATGTTCCTTGCAGAACAATTAATTAAGGGGTTAATCTGTATCTGAGACCACCTGGAAGCACAAGCAGCCGGCATTTGGGTTGTAACTAAAGACTTTGTTCATAAGCTAAAATTAAAATTCTAGTCATAGCTCAAGTTGTTCATATGTCAGGCCGATCATAACTTAAGGGTCCACGCTAGAATATTATTGAAACACACACACACACACACAAACACACAAACACACACACACACACACAACTATAGAAAGGAATAAATTAGAGTAATTACAGAGATGCCATTCATAGGGTGAGGTTTGTGAGAAGGTGCAATAGGATGAAATCTAAAGCACTCAGGAGGGGTCGAGATGGTAGGTAGGTTTGAAGTTTGATGGCTAGAGGTTGAAGGAGATTTCTTTTGAGTACTGTTATTTCCCAGAAAAATCAGGAAAAGATCTCTAATTTATGGGAAAGGGGAGTGTATCAGTCAGTGCTCACTAGAGAAACAGATTTAATGCAAGATATACACATATGTAAGAATTTAGAAGATTGACTTAGAATAGCTGCCCACAGAGTCTGATGTGGAAGAGGGCAAAAGGGAGGACTGTGCCCTGGAGATCTGAAGGATTCAAAGGCCTGGAGCTCTTTGTGCTGTCCCATGCCAGAGTCCCTACCAGGAGGTGGAAGAGTTGGTCTGTGCTGGAAGCCAGAAGACGTCCGAGATAAAAGTGAAGACTGGAGCTCTCAGAAGAAACCCAAGTGAGCCTACTTTTTCATTTCTTTTTTATATCATTCTGGCAACAATCCTCCTTAGGGTGGGTCCTCCACACCCAGAACTATGCTGAGCCAATTTAATTGGGTGTTTCTTACTCAAATTGACACAGTTAACTATCACAGGAAGTGTTTGGAAATTCACTAAAGGAGTTTTAAGAGTTATTGCAAGCACTCTTCATAATAGGCAGACGATGGAGAGTAACTGAATATCCATTAGCTGATGACTTAAAATCTGGGATATGCTGCAATGGAATATTGTTTAGCGATTAAAAAGAATGAAGAACTGAGACAACATGGCTAAATTTTGAAAACCGTATGCTAGGCGGAAGAAATCAGTCATGAAAGGTCACAAATTGCATGGTTCTATTGGTAGGAAAAGTCTGAAAGAGGTAAATACAAAGAAACTGAAGTATTAGTGGTTGTCAGAGCCTAAGGGGAAAGGAAATGAGGCATGAGAGCTAATTAGAATGGGGTTTCTGTAGGAGGTGATGAAAGTTTTCTGAAATTAGTGATGATAATTTTGTGACTATACTAAAAACCACTTAATTCAATACCTTAAAAAGGTGAATTTTGTGGCATGTGAATTATATCTCCATAGAGGTAATACGGTAAAAAGAAGAGAATAGGAAAAGGAAAGTTATTGTAGAAAATAGATAAGTAAACTTTCCAGACAAAAAATGTAAGATTGCCAGAATACTGAGGTGGTAATGTTTGTATCCCCTAAATGTCATATGTTGAAACCTTTGGCCCAAGGTGATAGTATTAAGAAGTAGATTTTGGGAGGTGGTTAGGTCACGAGGGCTCCACACTCATGAATGGGGTTAGTGCTCCCACCCTGTGTACTGGGTATTGAACTCAGGGTCTCCACAATGAGCTAAGCTGCCCAGGCTGGGCTTGAACCCTTAATCTTCGTGCCTCAGTCTCCAAGAGTGGTGGGATTACAAATGTTTACCACATGCCCAGTAGGATTGTGCTCTTATAAAAGTGGCCTGAGGGAGCTTCACCCCCTCCACCATGCGAGGAAACAGCCAGAGGCACCATAATCAGGGACAGGGCTTCTCTAGATGCGCATCTTCTGGTGTCTTGATCTTAGACTTTCCGGTTTCCAGAACTGTGAGCAATAAAATTCTGTTGTCCATAAATTGCCCAGTTTAAGGTAGTGTTTTGTGGTAGCAGCCTGAACAGACTAACTTTACCTGAATTATCTGGTAAGAGCAGAAACATCCGCCAAGCTAATGAAGCTTCATCTCAGAGTCTTTCACTGGGCAGTCTGGGAGAATGCAAAGAAGAGCGCAGGGTGAGAAAGCGTGTCCTAGTAGGGAGTTGAGATGGTTGAGCTCAATTGTCAACTTGATAGGTTGAGAAACACCTAGGAAAAATTAGTAAGGCACATCTCTGGCTGTCTGTGAGAGTGTTTCTAGGGATAACTGACAGTAGACAGCAAACTGACAGGGAGAATTCCCTGAATGTGGGCAGCGTTCTCCAACAGGGTGAGGGCCTGGATGGAACAAAAGCGGGAGGAAGTCAGCTAGCACAGGCTGTCGGCTTTCTCACCTTCTCTGCATCCCGGCTAACAGGAGGTAAGCAGGTTTCCTGCCCCACATCTTTCCGCCTCAAGGTTTCCATCTTCCCACAGTCAAGGAGAAGCCCCAGGCAGGGTCACAGGCAATGGAGCCAGTAAACCGTGGACTGACACCTCTGAAACGAAAAACTAAAATAAATCTTTCTGCCTTTAACTTGTTTATCTTGCATATTGGTCGTAGCAATGGAAAACTGGCTAACAACACAGGAGGAGACACCAAGCTGTACTCGGGAACTTGTGCATGTAAGGATTCTGAAAATCACTGACAGATCTTAGAAGAAAGCTATTGGCCTCTTAAAGTCTTCAGTAATTTGTGGGTGATTTATCTTCTCATCCTAAATTTTCATCTGCTGGAGATGTAGCTCAGTGGTGCTGCTGCCTCCATCGCAGGCGCAAGGTCCTAATTTTGATCCCTGGTACCAAAAAGAAAAAAAAAAGTTTCATTAAGGGCCCAGGATTTGCCCCAGTGGTTCTCTTGCCTGCCTAGCAAGCACAAGGGCCCCAGTTTGATCCCTGGTACCAATAATAAATAAATAGATAAATTTTTTTGAGACACGGTCCCACTATGTAGTTGAGACTGACCTGGAACTCACTATGTAACCCAGGCTGGTCTCAAACTCACAGGGATCCTCCTGCCTCAGCCTCCTGAGTGCTGGGATTACAGGCGTGCACCACCACGCCCGGCATTCATCGTACTTTTTTAATGTGATCATATATTGTTTGTTTCCTTTCCTTTTTCAGTGTTGGGGTTTGAATGTAGGGATTCACACAATCTAGGCAAGTGCTCTACCACTCAGCTGTGTCCCCTAGCTCTGTGTATTCCTTTTTCTTTTTTTGGTACCAGAGATCAAACTCAGGACTTTGTGCTTGTCACGGAGGTGTGGCGCCACTGAGCTACATCCCCAACCAGGTGTTCCTTTCTTTATAAGGACTTTTCAAATTGTATAAATTTCAGGGCAAGCAAACCAAGATCTGTGCCTGCAGATAGTCAAGAGTCTCTTTGAGGTCACAAAACAGATATCTATAACGCTGTCACTCGTGTGGCTGCTCGGGTACAGAAGATAGTGGAAGGGAGCGGGTAGCAAAGAATAGGGCAATCTGACAGACCGTGAATAAAACCGGAGTCCAGAGGCTAGACGACGTGTGAGAAGAATGAATAGGAAGAAATAAAAAACTCAAGTTGGAAGATGTGAAGTAGGGTGCTGGAGGTGCCTAATCAAGTCCACAGGGTAGGCGGTTTAAGATGATTTGATGGTCACAAGAGGTAACATGATCATTTGCTTTCAGGCAAAGTCTAAACTTGAAGATCTCGGATCTGCCCTTTGCTTCTGTAATCTCACACAATACTAACAGCTTTCTCACTCCAGTCCTTTAGAGACTGCTTCCTCCTGAGAACCTCTAGGTAGCATGTTTTGTTTTGACTGGAAAACTCTCCTCTGGGCCAGGCCATCTTCTGCCTATCCTGAGGAATCAGTTTAAAGTCTTGCTCAGAGAAGCCTTGCCTGACTTGCCCTCCCTCCTCTCTTGGAAAGGGTAGATCCTCTAACACATGCTCAAACCAGGTTGCATCTTCCTTCCACAGCATTTATCAACTATAGTGTAGACATTATGGGGTTAATTATCTATAAAAAGTTTCTCTCCTGGATAGACAAGGGGTGGAGCAAGTCTTCCTCTCCTCTCTATTGTATCCTAGATCCTCAGGGACTTGCAAATACTAGACATTCCATAAATATTTCTTGTATGAAAATATTTTAAGATATTTATATGTAATAGTTTTTCCCGGCATAGTTTTACTGCCTTGAGACATAAAATGCTAGATTTACCGATCTAAAAGTAGCATATAATATAAAAATAATGCACAATTCCTCCTCTCTAAAATACTGTACATACATAGAGGCCTATCTCTCTTCAGCCTCACCTCAATCCCGATTTGATCTCTGGAAATAGGAGTTTAAAACAGTGCAGTAGAAGATAGGGACATTTCTCATGAAGACTTTCTATGTAGAACGAGATGACTGCATGCCTTCTTTGAAATAAAGAAAGAAATACTAAAAATTCCAAAGGCCAACAATGGGCAATATAATTTTGCATTTTAGAAGGACTTTATAAGAGTAAAGAGATGGGAGTGGTCCCTCCAGTATGTAGGGTGCGGGAGCCCGGCCATGGCCCTCCAGGCGTTTGACATTTAAAAGGAAACTTCTTCACCTCTACACTCAAGGCACTGATACAATCTATGTAACATTTGTTACTTTTCTAGGACTCTGCTTGTTAAAATTGTTTTTTGACCCTGCAATGGGAGAAACTCAAAGAGACAGCCACAGATGTGATGTTCTTTGTAAAGAGTCAGAAAATCCGGTCTTTTCATAAAAGATACAAATAGTTGCTTGGTGCTTCCTGTTGATGTGAACCTATAAAAGGAGCTGTTTCTATGAAATAAATCAGACTGCTCTTGGTCTCCACTCAGGCTTGAGTGTTCTTTTCTTTCTCAATCCTCACTCCCCAACTCAGGCATGTTAGTGTTGTGACGGCTGGACCGCCACAGTAGGGATATTCTGTTACCAGCCCAACACCTCATTTCAACCTGTAACATTTTCAAACACAGAAGAACTCCTTTGAGGTTGTGTTAATACAAGAATGCTCAAGATCATGTTTTCCATAAATGTTGATATTTACCTCCTCAAGTACTCTGAGCACTTTTAACGGATTACTTATTTTCTAAAGTTTATTTTGAGGTTTTGTTCCAATTTATAGGATCGGGACCAGGTATAATAAATTTGGTAAAGCCAACAGTTCACCAATCAACTTGTGGACTAGACTAGTTGTACCAATGCTAATTATTGCTATTTTGACTCAGGGTAGATGCACACTGTAGGAGAGGTGGAACATAAATATAATGACTTCTTTTGGAGGACTCCACAGCACAGCCTTAAAATTCTACAATTGACAACAAGCAGCAAAAACCCTTTTCTTTTTCATTAAAATTCTGCAGAATTGGTATTGTCACTCCCATTTCGGACCTCAGGAAGCTGAAACTCAGAGGCATAATGCAATTTGTTCAAGGTCATGGCCGCTAAATTAGGGACCCAAGAAATGAATCCAGATTTTGAAGAAGCTCAGTTGTTGTGATACTCAAGGATCTGCCAAAGCATGAAGTTTCTAAACCTCAGTGAACAGGGTCTCTCTCTTCTGATGCACCATTAATCATTCTGTTCAGACAAGCTGAAGATAGCCTTAAGGTGCCAACATTATTTTCCGATAGTAACTTCCAGTGTTATTTACATACGTGCTATTTTCAAAGTAATTAGTCTGATGACAGCAGTAGAATATTAATCAGATGGAAAGCCCATTCATGACAGTATGACGGGGTACTTCCGGTCACTGTCCCAGCTTATGGGACTGAAGCTTGCACAATTCAGCAACTTCCCTTCCCTCCCTGCTCCCACCACCAGGTTCCAGGGGGGTCTTCATCTGTGAAGATCTCTTTGTTTCTCTTTCCGTCTTCCTTATAATTATTGCGTTTGTTAAAAAAAGTGATTCTTTGCATTTGTCCAGGAAACAAACCCCATTCTCCTCTCTTCACATCTTTTCACTCTCTGCCTCTGGCTAAATACCTCCTCAGCCTTTGTCCCACCTCAGTTATTCCTTCATATCTTCAACTGTGTTTATTTCCCTTAGAGAGCACACGAATCACAATCTGTAGCTTTGTTGACCCTTTGCTTATTATCCTTCGCCTTCATTTGCACGTATGCAGTGACCTTTGTTCGCCAACACAGCACCTTACTTCTTACTACGACCTAAAACGTTTTCAAACATAGAGAGAAATGTAAATATATGAACGTTGGGTAAAAAAAAGGAAATGCCCCAGGATATGTTCTTGGAAATGTTCATTTAGCTCTGCATATTTTTAGCACTTTTATCGGATCGCATACATATTATCTTTTAAAATTTGTTTTGGGTCTTTGTTTCAAATACATCGGGAAATCTATTTCTACTCTAAGATCATGGTAAACTCGGGTATAACACGGTAACTGTTAAGGCGCAAGAACAGCTTTTCTACGCAACAACCCCTGGGCAGATTTTAAGTAAATGCAAAGTGGAAACAACACTTGGAGGGAAGGTGAACCTTTAACGTGTCCCAGAGACAGGTCCGGTCCAATCCTTTGGGTGCACTAAGCGCCCCCACCTCGCTGGCTGCCCGGGTCCAGGCCAACCCGGGCGCCCTCAGCGCGCCCCTGGGTCCCAGCTCCGGGCCGGTCGCCATGGCGCGTTCTCTCGTCCTCCAGTCTCGAGCGGTAGAGACCCGGCAGG